TCAGATTGCGAGTCGAGTCGCCGTAACCACCTGGCCATGCCGGGCCTATTTGTAATGAAATGAGAATAGAAACAGAATAAAACAAGTTTCGTTAAAATCGAGCCACGGGTTACCGAGTTAGCGCCGTTTTTCGAGTCACTTTTCGTACATTCCATTATTATAAAACTTCGTTTTCCACCTGATGAATCACTTTAAAATAACTTCTATACAACAATATATGCACAACAGAAATTAAATGGTGAAAATGTGTTATAACGGCACGTAGAAAGAACAACAATAAAATGGACCTACAATATTATTGACTATTTGCAAATAGTAACTATGGAGACGAGGTAATAAAATAAATATCAAGTCGAGAACAACAACAAAATTGTATAAACGAAAACCTCTCGCCGAGCATTGGCTATTATATTATTTCCCTGTCAATGTTCCCATCTTCATTAAAAGGCGTAAAATAACAAAAACAAGATCTTGAAGAATCTATCTATATATAACTAAAACTCTGAGATTGTTCGTTTGTTTGTATGCTTATTTTCTCAGTCAAAAAAATCATTCACACTACCGTTCGCGCTCTTTACGAAACTTCTTACTTCACTTTTTTGTAAAATGAAATGGTCTTTCCTTTTACTCCCGTTCAACAATCAAATACATTTTCTTGAATTATGAATAACACGAATGGATTGAAATATTTAATTAAATTATCTCAAAATAAACCTTAATTTTGCAATATTGAAATTAGCTTGAATTATTCATAACCTCTGAATAGTGGTTGACCCAATGGGTCACGGTGATCTAGTTATTATTAAAAAACAAACAAATATGTTTCCTACATCGTTGTTTTTATTTTCGCCTTTTGTGTAATTTGTGCTAAACACGACAGTTCAATGAATGGAGAGGTATAAAGTTTTCTCTGTACAGTACAGTTTCAGACATTTAAAGTTAGTTGTTTATATACAGACACAAGCTTCCTCCCTCGTGTTAAAGAGAATAGACTAGACTGATTCAATCAATACGTCGCGTCGTTTACAGCAGACAGGAAAGTTACACATAACTGTGGCACGTCTGGCTTATGTAGTGACAAATAAGAAAATCATACCCGATATGTGTGGTCTGTGTAAACAACATTCCATGTTCAACATGCCTGAACAGGTATGGGCAAAACAGAGACAAAAAGGATAAAATAGTAGGCGGTCATGATAAGCCAAATACATATCAAACTAAACCAGAAAACAATTTAGCATATTATTAGTATTACGAAGAAAGTACAAAATCATACTGCATTATCCACGCTCATTTAATAAGTGAGCCGTTTGCGTTTCCCGCGTATTTGATTAACACCTTTTTTTTTCAACTATTAACACTGAACATATCAAATTCTGTTCTATTACGGTTTAATTACTTTCTATAGTTATAATAAGATAAACTGGATTTCACGCATGAAATTTCAACACTCACCTCTATCCGCCATAGGAGGTGGTCGCGATCTGTCCATTTTCGCGTGCTACCAGCGGTCGCCACTCGGTCTAACGCTACAATCCATTCTGTATGCAACTGCACGTGTACGCTTTCGTCAACTAACAGTATGCGCGGGAAAGATCAGTTCACCAAACGGTGATTTCCCCTACTAACCTAACACACACACGTAGCAATGCGCCGACGCTTGACAAGAAAACCTTTATCAGCAGACGACGAACAGGATTGTTAGTTCCGCTAAAAACCGCGGAATTAGGCTTGTCCATTCTCGCGGTCGCTTGTAGTTTTGTGTCGTGGCTTTCTGTTATATTTTGAGTTTGTTTTTGTTCCTGGTCGTTTATGATGATAAATGAAAACATGAAAATAAATATTATTTAATCAGCAAACAAAAACTAAACACGTTTTTAACTTCGTGATCCTGATTGGATTTCATTCCCATCCATGTACCCCAGTGGGTCAGCGATAAGTTTATGAAATTACAACATTAAATTCTTTAGTTGGATTCTTCGCACTGAAATAACACATGCAGCCCACTGTGTAGCTTTGAGCTATAGCAAACAAACAAATACCCATTGAAATCATAAATAATATTCAACGTTAAACTGGTACACAGTTAAAAACATTTTATTTAGGCTTATCTATGGCCTTTAAAAAGTTGACGACTACATGTTTCGACGTTACAACGTCATCTTCAGAATGTAACGTCGAGAAATGTAGAGTCGTCAACTTTTTGAAGGCCATAGATGGGGCTAAATAAAATGTTTTTATTTGTGTACCAGTTTAATGTTGAATATTATTTATGATTTTAACTTTATACATAAGTGCCAAAATACTATAATTAAATACCCATTGCTAAATTTAACCTGCACAACAAATTGACTGACGTCATATCAACCAATGAGCACTGCACAACAAATTGACTGACGTCATATCAACCAATGAGCACTGCACAACAAATTGACTGACGTCATATCAACCAATGAGCACTGCACAACAAATTGACTGACGTCATATCAACCAATGAGCACTGCACAACAAATTGACTGACGTCATATCAACCAATGAGCACTTCCCATTTTCGAGCTAAGACCAGACTGGTGGGTACCTCGGATAGGAGGCACTTAATAATCCAGTGCTATTTACGAACCCGTCGAATCTGCTCATTAACAATAAATTGGCAGTGACCTGGGCATAACTTCGAGAGAAAATTTGGTATTTCACTTCATATGGGTGTTCAGTGTGGAAAGACCTGTGAGTTCAACTACTACTGTGTCTATCGTATCCCAGCCGGCATGATGAGCCCTCGTGCTAGGCGAAAGGCCTCACAGATACTCAATATAGCAAATAGCGTGTATTTGACATATTATTATTCATTCTTCTTTACTTTCACTCATAATTTCTTAGAATTTATTTATAATTATCACACACAAACTTGACATGACCGAGTAAGTTAACTGATCCAGAAACTATGAAGTGAAATGTAAGATACAACGAAACAAACTTTTCAGCCGCGGCATAACGGCTCAAAGAATGCGTCTGAGCTTTTGTTTTTATTGTTTGCAAGTACAAACTTTTAGCTCATAGCTCCGTCATCTCTTGACCGATTGAGATCTAATCAGTTTTGGACTCTGGAAGTCAAACCCTTTCGACTGATATGTTTGACAACGCCCAAGGTCTCAACGATTAATTTACTCTAATCCTGCCTAAATGGATTTGAAGTGCCGCAGCTATTGAGGGTTCCCTATTGTTTAATACATGACGCTTTATTACACCTCATATATACAAGCCTAGTAGCAAACGATCCAAAATTAAGAATATTCTAGTAAATACATTTAGTTATCAACTCTAATCTTAAATATGATATTTTTTAATATTTATACACTTGAACTTACTTATATAGGTGAATTTTCAAATACACAAATATTTTTACAGGTGCACAATTTGTTATCAACTGAACACTAGGAAAACCCCTGTCTTCAAAAATAATCCTACAATTAATAAACTAACACTTGAAAGAAATAAAGACCAGTTATGGAACGAAAAATATATCATTGTATACGTCAATAAATAAAATATATATACAAACTTTTCATTCAACTCACATAAAACTTATTTACATTACTCACATTATTTATTTACATTACTAACATTATATATATTTACATTACTAACATTATATATATTTACATTACTCACATTATGTATTTACATTACTTACACTATATATTTACATTACTAACATTATATATTTACATTACTAACATTATATATTTACATTACTTACACTATGTATTTACATTACTCACATTATGTATTTACATTACTCACATTATGTATTTACATTACTCACATTATATATTTACATTACTCACATTATTCACTTATATTACTCACATTGTATATATTTACATTACTCACATTATTTATTTACATTACTCACATTATATATTTACATTACTTACACTATGTATTCACATTACTCACATTATATATTTACATTACTCACATTATGTATTTACATTACTCACATTATATATATTTACATTACTCACATTATGTATTTACATTACTCACATTATGTATTTACATTACTCACATTATATATATTTACATTACTCACATTATGTATTTACATT